ACAAATTTTAAAACACAATTCCTTATCTTAAAGTGAAAGAGAGAGGAAGGAAGAAAAGGTAGAAAAAGAGAAACATATCCAAAGAGGGGAGAGCAAATGCAGGCAAGAGGAAAAGGGGGCTTTCTGCTACACTACCTTTTGCTACCTGAGGGAGACCTTTCCCCACAACAGCACTGCATGTTAGGCTAGTTCTTGCTATGCTTGTTCCTGCTCCTTGCCTGAGCAACTGCTGTCAGAGTCAAGTCCACTTTGGTGTAAACTAGAGGTGCACCAATATATCAGTTGCATATCAGATCAGCACCAATAAAAGGAAGTTTACATTACTGGCTATCAGCTTTTTTTGGTTGGTGTAGCTGATAATGTTCACCATTAAATATTATAAATTATGCCTTCTAGCTGGGGTCCCTGGACACCGCGTGCACATGTGCGGCTGCATGCATGCACGTTTCCAGGCATGCCACTGGGCAGCATGGAGAGCAGCTCCCTGCAGGTAAGTCTGTGGAGGGGAAGGGGCAGATTGAGGCCCCCCAGCCAGGGCAGTGAGTAGGACCCAGGGCAGGGGCAGGGCGCTGAGTGGAAGTGAACCATGGGGCAGCTCGTCCAGAGGGCATGGTGGGGGGGATGGCTTCCTGCTGCTGCACGCACCCCCTGGGGAAGCATGGGGGGGGGGCATGTGCCCCCCCCAGATTTGTGCGCAGGACAGATGCAAAGTGCACACTTTGGGCTCGAGGCTCTCTGCCCTGCTGCCTCTCCCCTGGGAGCCCTGTGCCAGCCACGCGCGCACCCCCTGCCTGTCCAGCAGCAGTGGGGATGGTGAGTTGTGCTCCTTGCTGTTGGGTGGGCTGGGGGCATGCAACCAGTCCAGGGATTCCAGGGCAATGGCAGCAGGGTGGAGAGCCCTGAGCCCAGTGGGCAGCAAGCATCTGCCCTCACCCCACTTGGCTCTGCTCCAGTTAAAAGCATCCCTGTGCTTAAAAATGGTGGTGGTGGCACTTGAACTAAAGTTTATT